CAAATATACCCTTATTTATTATTGAGAAGAAGGGTTAAGTTTTATTTATATTATGTATTTTTATAATTATAATAAATTGTGAAGGGCATATTAGTAAAAAAAATTGTAAGATTGAGCTTCCCCTCCAAATTCCCCCAAAATTGGAGGGGATGAGATTTTCCCTCGGCTGGGAGAATGGAGGAGAAAATTCTACTCTCCTTCCATGTCAAAAATTGAACCAAACAATGGAAAATAAAAATTTTCCTTCCCCTCCCTTCCCCTCCCCTCTCTTTTTCCCGAACCAAACACAGTGAAAAAGAAAAATGGGAAAATAGACTTTAATCACTCTTTTTGTATTCTTCTTTTCATAAGTTGTTTTTCAAAAGATGAAAAACCTCTTTATATAGGCCAAGATAAGCCACTTTCATAAATATGTCAGTAATAGTTCATTAAAGTAAAGACTTAAAGGGCAACTTTAACAATGGATTTTGCTTCAGGTTTACAAACCTACTCCTACAGGTTTTATTATTAAATGGACAAGGTTTGAGGTTTAAGGTTTTACGTGAGGTTTGCAAATCTAAACCTCTCACAAACCTCTTGTGTGACCCCACATTTGCAACAATCTCTCAACTTTTTTATTTTAATCTTATTTTTTATTTTTTAATAAAAATATAAGAGTATTATAGTATTAAATAAAAGAAAGTGAAAAACATGTGGGACCCGTAAAAAAGAGGTGTATGGGTTTTATTGTTATTGGAGATTTATGTATGTAGGAGTAAGATCGAGGTTTTGGTGATGTGGTATATTGGGAAGTGTAAAATGAGGTTTATGGGGAGTTATTGTTAAAGATGCATAAGTCCTTTGTAACATGAACACAAGTTACATGTTTGAAGGTAAGACACAGTTTTAAGAAAAANNNAAAAAAAAAAAAAAAAAAATCAGTATTCAACATTTTCCAACAATATTTATCACATGATTTTTTTTTTATTTTTTTTTAAATTCAGTCACATTTTATTTTTTATTAAAATATTCACTTGTGAGTTGTCCACATCTTTTATATAAGAAAAATAAGCCTAATTTATAAGTCTAATGGGCTTCTCCTTCCACCAATTGGTTTTGGGATGGAACCCTACTTGGGCTTCATATAGGTTTTCCCTACTTATAGTGCGTTTCACGTGCGTGGGACCGCACCCGTTTTTTCCTC